CAGCGTTGGGAGAAGAATTCGATTCAAAAAATAAAGAGAACCATGTTTTCCGAAATAGTTATGAACGTTTAGCAAAAGTAAATTTTTTTTTTCTTCATTTTTGTAGTAACATAAGAACATTACACGGAACTAATATCCGCTAAGAAGATTATTATTTTTACATTTTAATTACAGATGTTTGCATACAGACTTTCGAATCCATGGTTTTTATTTTCGATTTTTTTTTCACTGTCATCGAAAAAACATGAACAACGAAATAGTCAACATTTAATGCATAAATTTGTTAATGACTTAATTCAGAAAAAACAAGTCGAACTCAATGAAAAAGCGAAAACTACAATTATTGGGAGTTATGACACAGATTGTGTTTCTCAAAAACCTATATCTCTAATTGAAATTCTATTAGCAAGCGAACAACAAATATCACCTAAAGAAATACGGGACGAACTTATAACCATTATTAGTGGTAAGCATTATATTTAAATTCTATAGCTGTAAAAAATTTTAACAATGTTTTCAAACTAATTTTTTTAGTTAAAAATTTCGGTATTTCAATGATGTATTATTTAATACTTATGTCATTAAATACATCATGAAAAAAATTCACCTCATTCTCTTCAAAGCCAAAAAAATCACTGCTTTTTATCTAAGAATTTAAACATGCTACATTTAAAAAAATATAAAATATAATTTCCAAAATTGTAAAGGAAATTCTACTAAATAACGTTATTTAAATGTATTTTATGTTTAAGCGGGACATGAAACAACTGCAAAATCAAATTCATTAATTATATTTATGCTGGCTCATCATCAAGATGTTCAACAAAATGTAACTTTTTCTGAAATAAATTACAATTCCATATTTATTTTAAGAAAACTATTTATTTTCGACCCTAGGTATATCAAGAAATAAATTCAATATTTTCTGCTGGCGATTTCAACCGATCACCTACACACGAAGATTTACAGAAAATGGAATACTTAGAACGAGTAATCAAAGAAACTATGCGGCTTTGTTCAATTGCACCCTTAATTACCAGAAAAGTAGAAAACGAAATGATGATTGGGAAATATGTTATCCCGACAGGTAGAATATTATAAGAAAAATAAGTTTTTTAAATTTCATAGCTAAATGGTGATTAAGTCATAGTAATCGAATATTATTATTTTATAGACGCAAATCTTCTGATTTGTATTCAATGTTTGCATTTAAATCCCAAGTACTATAAGGATCCAGAACAATTTAATCCTGACAACTTCTTACCTGACGTGTGTCGCCGTCGTCATCCTTTTGCGTACATTCCTTTTAGTGGTGGCTCAAGGAACTGTGTTGGAATGAAATACGCAATGCTTCAAATGAAGACTACGATATCTACTCTTGTAAGGTCCTATCGGTTTTCGCCATCGGAAAAATGCCTTACGCCGAAGGATCTAAGATTATCTTTCACTCTATCAGTGGAATTTATCAATGGATGTAACGTTAAAATAGAACCGAGAACATAATAGCTTGGAATTTAAAATGTTTAGGTGCGTTTTGTTCAAGTAATTAATTAAAAAATAAATTGTTATGTACTGGAAAATGTTTTGGTGTAAAAAAAAACACTGGGTTATTATTAACACTGGGTATTATTTAACTCCCTTTCATATAATATTATAATGGTATTTATTATTATAAATAGCAAATAAATATGTATCTTAATACTTTTTGTGTTCATTATTTATAGTAGTTATGCATAGCTTTAGAGTTTATCTGTGGATGTTACGTTAAAATAGAATGAAGATCGTATTGAGTAATTAAAAATATTTAGATATGTTTTAATTAAGGTAGAATTTATTTTGATTGTTTACTGTTTTAAAACAAAATTGAAATACACTTTGTTCTTTTAATAACATAATAATACACAAAAAACAAAACTCTTTGTAGATCATTAAACATGTATTAGAAATTAGGTAGTGTTTTGTTTCTCAGTGTATTTTTATTAGCTTTCAATATTGTATGATAGGGTGTATATTTACCCAATGTATTTTATAATAATCATTACGATATTGTGAGATTGATTTTGTTGTCAACATCATTGTTTTTTGTAAATATCTTAAAAGGAAATACACTGAAATTTAAAACTCAATTGTTATGGACTGGAAAATGTTTTAGTTTACAAAAAAGCACTTACCTCTATGTACATTATTAACGATTGATAAATATTTGTTAAAGTTATAAAATTATTATTATAATCTATATTTATAAAAATGAATGAATTAATCCGATCGCCATGAAACTTTGGGAAGCTGATGAGTACACTCCTGCAAAAGTAACTTGCATAGGTCTTGTCGAAAATTCCACCCCTAAGGGTGTCCTTAAACACGAATTTTGTACTTAAAATACGAAATATTTTTCGTTGCTAACCCGAAATAAACACTTGGTTGGTTAAAATAGTAACCAAGGTACTCGAGCGAATGGTAGGTGATGAATAATGGAACAGACCTATTCAGGGGGCGCTATTAAACATTGGAAATAGTACACTTGAGTAAGAGGGGGGCATAATCAATAAAATGTAATGTACATATGTATATCCAAAAAAAAACCGGGACGGGGTATGTTAAAGCTTTACAATATACAACCTAGAGTACTGAGTTTTTCTATCTTATTTGTAATTGTCTTACTCAGCTCTCGCAAACTAAATCCCAGGCGACGCCGGATCCGCATAGCTTGTAGCAAATAAATATGTATCTTAAGAGGGCGTTATACCTTTTAAAAACAATTGTAAAAAAGTTGTTTACGATAAAGCGTGTAGGTCAAAGCGAATCGGTAGAGTAAAAATGTTGGTACCTTTAAAAAGAGGAAAACTTTAACAAGGTTCTTTAGTCGGTTCTACAAAAAACTTTAATTTTTCCTACAATACAAGCACTTAAAAAAGTTAAAAAAATGTCAGAATTAAAATACAAATTGTGAATGTTGGGTTAATTATATAAAAAAAAAAATAGTTAAGAGCAATAAAAAAACATGGTGCTTAAAATGCAAATGAGTATAAATTAATTTTAAAAATTAAAGTTAAAAATATTCACTAGAATAAAAGTTATAATGGACTAAGCCTACGCACGACGTTTTAATAATTTTTAATTTCCTTTATATAATGTACACTTAGGCTAAAAACTAAATCGTTGAAGCCTGTATTTATCTCAATACACAAAAAAAAAAGTTATTTGTTATTTGTCTTTTTTCGTGGGATACCCTGTATAATATAATTTCATCAGCAACTGAAAACATGATTTTTCCATTTCAATAAGTATATTTTATTTTATTATTTTAGTTTATGACTGGTTAGGTCGCGGTTAGGACAATTCTAGCTTCTACTAGAGACAAGAGTTGCTATCGTGGGAAAGTGGTTTATAGTGCTTGGTGGTTTCCCGTTGCCTTCCGCACCAGTCGCGGCTGGTGGCTGGCTATTTCTCTCTCCAGACGGTTGTGCCAGCCCAACTAGAGAAACGGCCAGCGACCGTGATTCGAACCACGGCTAGTGCGTAAAAACCAAATTGTGTTCGATAACCAAATTGAAATGTATTTTATCTAGTTATTAACAAAAAAATACTCAAAGAAAAAATACTCTACGTTATTAGGCAGTGTTTTGTTTCTTAGTGTATTATTGTGTTAATTACAAAAATTATTATGTTTAATAAATATGAAGTGTATGTTTCCATATTGCCACACCAGTGTTGACGCCAGCGTGTGGACACCAGCGTGCGCATACCAGCATGTGGACGCCGGCATGTGGACAACAGCGTGTGGACAACAGCGTGTGGACGCCAGCGTGTGGACACCAGCGTGCGGATACCAGCATGTGGACACCGGCGTGTGGACACTAGTGAATGGTCACCACCATTATGTGGACGCCAGTGAGTGGACACTCATAAAGCACGATTTCATTAAACAAAATCAAAAGTACAACCATTTAAAACTGCATGACCAAATATACCATTAATGATAAATTCATAATATCGAGTAAGGTGAATTAATTTTAAACTAAATTAAATATTACCTATTAAAACAATCATAAAAATGCAAAAGTTATTAGAAGTCTATTTTTGTTAAACTAACAAATTATTCAATCACTGTACAAACCATTTGACATAGGTAACCTCAAACTGATATATTAAATTATGAACAGAGTTAGTTGTTATTATACATACAGTTGTACAAACATTATTTTTGTAAATAACATAAATTATTTAATCAATCAACTGTAAAAAACCGTTTAACATAGATAACCTCAAACTGATATATTAAATTATGAACAGAGTTGGTAATTAATATACATACAGTTGAAGAAAGATTTTTTTTGTGGATAACATAAATCATAAATTATTTAAAATAGATTATTGAAGAAAAAGAAACATTTGAAATGTTAGGTACAAATATTTGTGAATGGGTAAATATAATTATAATTAACTATTCACATCAAAACCATCAAGAAAATGCTAAGAATTGTTAAACTTAAAGAAAGTTATCAAAAGTCTATTTTTGGCATTTATTTATATATTCATCTATTACGAGATATTTTACCATTTTGTTTGTACTTCCACGCTGTTTATGTAAAATGGATGCTGCTTTCGAGTAAGTAATTTATATCATAATATAATTAATGAATTTTTTATAATTTTCATTTACTTGGCCGGATTATAGATGTTCTAAGCTTTATATTCTTTTAAAATAATACAAAAATTAAATTCATAATGCGTTATGCATTTGCGTTAGCTATTTATTCTATTGAATGTCCTTTAGTATATTAATGTGTCATTAAAATTCCTCGCTATAAGAAGTTAAATGTAAAAATTTAATTATGTGAAAAAAAATTAATGAAAAATATTCAATTTTGTATAAAATATTTGCATTTATATAAAAAATTAAAAAATGATTATATAATTTTAATTAAAGTTTGAATTGAAGAGAAACAATTGAAATAAACATTAATAGGTATAATATATACAAAAAATTTAATTTTAAGAAAAACGTATAAAAGGAACAAGAATATTAGAAATTTACCATTTGTGTTTAAGACTTACACACTGAAACTATATAATTTCAACAGCAATCAAAAACATGAATTTTCTATTTCAACAAGTAAGTTTTACTAAAAATATTAAATACGTGTTTTTATTTTATTTTTTCAAACATGTTTTAGTACTTTATGTAGTTAACCTTTACAAGGCACTTAAGTTGGCAAATATACCATCTCATATTAATAAGAACCCACATTTTTTTTACAGTGTGTTATTGCTTCAAATATTATACATTACAATTATTTAAGAATTAAAGTTTAACCTTACAACGAGTAAAAAGATGATTATTACCTTTAAGCAATTCTCAATGAAATTCTACCTATTATATACAATTTTAAAACTATAACATTCATATCATGCTTTTGGTCAATTTTTCGAATACATAATTATAAACAAATTTATTTTTGTATTACATTTAAATTGATTTTAGCCATATTACATTGTAAGTTAGTTAAAATATTTAGAAAACCGCCAATTTTTAGAGCTATTTTTGATTTTTCAAATTCTGATATTTGGAATCGGCAGGTAATATAAATGGAAACCCCTAAATTCGTTTGTATATTCTGTTATCGATTAATATTTTAAATACAATTTTTAATAACATACTAACCGAAAGTTATTGCTATATAAAGTTGATGTTCGTTCTGTAAACAGAAGCATTTTTAGAAATATTCAAATCAAATAATAATTATAATCAGACAATCAGAATATAATTTAAAAAGTATGATGCTTTAAAAACATGCACTACTTTGGGGCTAAATTAAGAATTCTTTTGGATAAACTAGCTTTAATTTAGTTTACAAACTCACATTAGCAAATTTAAAAGCAATCTGGTTATCAAAATAATCTTTATGACCTAATTGTTTGGAACTACTCAACCACCGACTTAAATTAAGTTGTCAATTAACAAAATTTCTGATTTCCAAAATAACTAATGACATTTTTAAACTTAACTGTGATTTTGTTGTAAGTTCCTTATAACACTGTTTTCAAATATCTAGTTTTAAGACAATTTAATCATTTAAACAGTCCACTTTGTAGCATTCTTTTATTAATAAAGTTGTTTATATAAAAAAAAAAGTTAATTAAAAATTTGAAATAGACAAACCAAAAACTGTAAAAACAAAAATTTTGTTTTCAAAAATAAATTAATTTAAACACAAGAGGTCAGCCTGGTGTAACTTTTGTTGTTCTCTAGGTGATAGATTATCAACACAATTGATGAAAGAAAAAAAATATTTTCTTGGGCCATAATAGGAAGTGGCTTAACCGCCAACGAGATTGTAATAGACGACTGCTCGGAGTTTAAGTGATTGAAAACTAGTTTTGGATAATTAACTTTAAAGTTATTTAAGTTTAAAATTTATGCCATATATAACATTATCTAACTAAACGTTATTTTTGTTTTTAGTCAATGTCAAATTAAAATGGATTTGATAACAATCGCATTTATAAGTTAGTTTTATTTTACTAGTTATAACTGACCGCACGTCTGTGCGCGGGCTAAGTTCCAACAATGTCAGTGTAACTTTCACGAACCAATTCCCACGGTTTTTCTAACTCTCATAAACCCATCTGCTTCCTCTTATAATGGGCTTTTGAAATTTGAAACATAGATTACACTTAAAGAGCTCCGGATGCTGTAAAAAACACCTGAGACCTTAATGTGTACCACGAAACTAAAAACTAAATAACTGCGGTTATTGTAAGAGATATTGAGAGTCTTATCCTTAGTGAAACACTATGTATAGCCAATATATTTGCTAAATGAATTAATTCAACTAAAAAATGTTTGTAACTGATAGTGATTGTACAGTAGAAAGTTAGAACATACATAAAATTTAAACAAATAATTATACTTTCGTTTGTTTATTAAAATGATTAAAAGTCACAATACTAAAAAGTAAGATAATTCAAGAAATTAATTCAATTTTTACCGAAATTTACAAAAATTAAATACTTGTAATATGTGTTTAAATAAAACATACGATTTTATGCAGCTGTACCCCTGGTTGCCAAGAAAGTTGAAAATAAAACGAAGATAGGAAATATGTGATCCCTGCAGGTAACACCAAAGAAAAAGAAATTATGTATTCAAATTTTTTCGCTTGTTGATATTTAATAATAATAATAGTTACCTATTGAACATTAAATATAAATATAAATGTCTGTTATACACACTATTATCGCGATTCCTAATTATTTATTACACTTGAATCGTCAATAATAACTTGAGTTTTAAAAACCATGAAAATCAATTGAATCATAATGGAGTGTCAATAATATATATTCAAATATTAATGACAACAATTTACTTAACAAACTGTTATTTTTAAGTTCAGCTATATTTATTAGTAAAACATTATGATTTATATCGTACTGATATTTGGGTTTTTTATATACGGTTTCTTTGAGTTTTATTAACTGTACGTTATTACATTAAGTTTGTTAGCTTCTTTATTATCCTATTAAATTATAATATGAATAGGTGATAGTAGGTTTTTATTGAAATTCGATTGGTTGTTAAAATATATATGTGAAAATTTCCCACTAGGAACGAAAATAAAATACTTAACAAACAGTTATTTTTAGATTTAGCTATATTTATTATCCTATTAAACTATAATATAAATAGATGGTATTGGTTTTTCTTACAATTCGATTGGTTGTTAAATATATATGTGAAAATTTGCCACTAGGAAGGTAAAATTTAATTTCCACTAGGAAATTTCCAAGAACACAATGTATATCGCTACTATGAAACCCCAAGGTTAATTGTTTTAATTGAATTGACCATAATTTAAATATGACTGAATATATAAGAAACACATATATGATACACATGATATTTGAATACTTTGATTTTAGTAGTGCTTACTCACTATATGTACTAAAGCTAATATATTAATGATTTGTGTTAATACTTATTGATTCGAAACACATACTTATTATAACATGTTGTTTCCAATTTAAATTTTGCTTAATAATATTCAAGAGAAAATTTAATATCTTTACAAAGTCATAGCTAACGACTAGATGGAAAAATAAATAAATATATTTAGGGTTTAAACTGTATATAAAATGTGTTGAAAATCAGTCCAAAATAAAAATGATATAACAAATATAATACAGAGAGAAAATCTGTAAAATGATATCAGTGACCTTAATGATCTTTCCAAAGAACATAAAAAATAACAACAGTCCATATATCTTTTATATTTACACTGGAATATTTATTTTGATTTTTTTTATCTTAAAAGATACATCGCCAAGTTAAGGGTTGAATTTAATTAACACAAATTATATTTATGTAATTAAAATTATGAGTATTTTTTGTCTGTAACCTAAAAATTATAATAATAATATTATAGCCCATTATTATCATGGTTAGTTACCATCAGAATCCTAATTTTTTTTAAAAATAATTTTGATGTGATTATAATAAGAATTCAGTTAATTATATGGTGTAAAGCTTAAAAGTCATTGATGTGGTTTTTTTACAACAGTATTATACCTAGAGTGTTTCAAATTAGTTATGGGAAATAAATAATACAAAAACAAGGAAAAAACATAAAAAAAGTTGATTGCCATGTAATAATTGAAAGTGAATAAACTAATGTTAAAATTAGTGTGAACACAAATTAATAGCCATACATGAATAATATATTTGGCTCATTACTTTTGTGTTTTAAACTTCCATTAGTGAAATCAAAATATCATTACAGAGTACATAGTATTATTTTGTCGGCTTCCAAAAACATGATTCTTTTATTTCAACGAGTAAGTTTCACTACCAATTTAATGTTTGAGTGCTTTAAGTAGTTAACCTTTATTAGAAACTAATTTTAGCGTTAAATAAAATCTGTTCAATTAAAAACCTTAATTTTTTTTACAGTTACGTGGTTTTTTGCCACACATAGTATATCATCAATAGTATTTTAGTATTAAAGTTTATTCTTAAGATGGGTAGAAAAATGGAGTATAGTATTATAATTATCTGTACTAAACCTGTGTGAGCAATACTCAACGAAACGCCACCTCTCATTCAAAATTTTAAAATGAAATAACTTAAAAAATGATTATTTAAAGCTGGTTGTCGACAATTACACAAATTTAATTTAAAGAAAAAAGCATTTATGAGGAACCAAATTATGAGAAATTTACTATTTGTGTTTCAAACTTATAATAGTGAAACAATAATAATATCATTAAAAAGTACATAATATTATTTTATTTTATACCTATATTATTTCATCAGCAACCATAATATTCCTTTGGTCTCTATCTTGAGTACATAATGATAAAATATGTTTTATTTATGTAATATTTAGATTGATTTGAGCCATATAACATTGTAAGTTAAATATTTTCAATTCATATTTTTCTTAAATTTCAGATTTTTAATATGAGTTATTTTCAATCCATTATACTTACTATCCTGTTAGTTATATCGATAGTAATAATTCAAAGGATAAAAAACCAAAGACAAATTACTTTGGCTGCTCAAATACCTGGTCCAAAAGGTCATTTTGTTGTCGGAAGCCTAACGATTTTTACTCAAGGAACAGAAAAGTTCTTAGAGAATATGAAACGACTATGTAAGATGTAAGTTATCGCGAACAAGCATGTAAAGTTTTGTGGTATAATGTTGTCTAATTACTGAAAACATTTTTAAGTTAAAATACAACTGATACATGTGTAATCTAATTTGTTAAATATTGGAAAGACGACGTAGTAAAACCAGCTTATAAATATGCAAGATGTAAATACTTGTAGTTAACATGCATTTATTTTGTGGAATAATGTAGCCTTAAGCCAAACAAAAATCAAATTTCGACATAATTAACAATTTCAACTATTATCCATAAAATCTACTTAGTTTTCAACTATACTTTATGTATTGGAGTTTTAAAAACAACATAGTAAAAACAAACACATTAATGAATATATACGAAATTTTATGATCAGTTTGGGAATAGTTAGTTTTTTCTGTAGAGTATTTTGTGTGGGACATTAACAAAAATTACATGGGAACCACATAAATACTCCAGAACGTTAAGATAGAAACGATTCATATACAAGAAAGGAATCCTTGACTGTTATTATTTTGTGAATTAATTAAATTTGTAACATAAGTACTTATGGACAAAATTTAAAACAAGCTCATTATGTTTAAGGTACGAGCATTCATTATTTAAATTTTGGTTATTTAACAAGCTGATTGTTTGTTTATCCAACGCCGATGATATAGAAGTAGTAATGAATAGTTCAAATTGTTTTCAAAAGGATTTCCCTTATTTGTTAATGGAAGATGTTTTCTCAGGTACGGGGGTACTTACAACTAATAATGTACATGACCATAAAAAAAACAGGTAAATTATTGTTATATATAGTAACTATAATATTATGATTATAAATATTTTGTAAGAAACTAATAAAAAAAACTGTTCCTATTTAAAAAAGATGAATAATTTATTAATAAAACGTACGTTATTTAGGAAAATAATATCACAATGGTTAAAGTATTCAAATTTAAAATCAATGATAACTTCTTTCTACAATGAATCCAAAATTCTTGCACACATATTGAGTGAAAAGTGTGAAGGAAAACCAATTGAACTTGAAATAGGCCGATTTTTCGACCTAGCATCGATGGACAGTATTGGAAGAACAGCGTTGGGAGAAGAATTCAATTCACAAAATAAAGAGAACCATGTTTTCCGAAATAGTTATGAACGTTTAGCAAAAGTAAATTTTTTTTTCTTCATTTTTGTAGTAACATAAGAACATTACACGGAACTAATATCCGCTAAGAAGATTATTATTTTTACATTTTAATTACAGATGTTTGCATACAGAATTTCGAATCCATGGTTTTTATTTTCGACTTTTTTTTCACTGTCATCGAAAAAACATGAACAACGAAATAGTCAACATTTAATGCATAAATTTGTTAATGACTTAATTCAGAAAAAACAAGTCGAACTCAATGAAAAAGCGAAAACTACAATTATTGGGACTTATGACACAGATTGTGTTTCTCAAAAACCTAAATCTCTAATTGAAATTCTATTAGCAAACGAACAACAACTATCACCTAAAGAAATACCGGAGGAACTTATAACCGTTATAAGTGGTAAGGATTATATATAAATTCTATGGCGGGAAAAAATGTTAACAATGTTTTATAGCTAATTTTTTTAGTTAAAAATATCGGTATTTAAATGATGCCATTTAATACATCATCTCAAAATATTCTTCATAATGACATGTAATAAAAAAATTCGCCTTATTCTCTTCAAAACCAAAAAATCACTGCTTTTCATCTAAAAAATTAAGCATTCTACATTTAAAATAATAGAAAACATTATTTCCAACATTGTAAAGGAAATTCTTCCAAATAACGTTATTAAATTTGTTTTATGTTTAAGCGGGACACGAATCAACTGCAAAATCAAATTCATTAATTATATTTATGCTTGCTCATCATCAAGATGTTCAACAAAATGTAACTTTTTCTGAAATAAATTACAATTCCATATTTATTTTAAGAAAACTATTTATTTTCGACCCTAGGTATATCAAGAAATAAATTCAATATTTTCTGCTGGCGATTTCAACCGATCACCTACACACGATGATTTACAGAAAATGGAATACTTAGAACGTGTAATTAAGGAAACCATGCGACTTTATCAAACTGTACCCCTAATTGCCAGAAAAGTAAAAAACGAAATGATGATTGGGAAATATGTTATCCCGACAGGTAGAATATTATAAGAAAATAAGTTTTTTAAATTTCATAGCTAAATGGTGATTAAGTCATAGTAATCGAATATTATTATTTTATAGACGCAAATATTCTGATTTATATTCAATGTTTGCATTTAAATCCCAAGTACTATAAGGATCCAGAACAATTTAATCCTGACAACTTCTTACCTGACGTGTGTCGCCGTCGTCATCCTTTTGCGTACATTCCTTTTAGTGGTGGCTTAAGGAACTGTGTTGGAATGAAATACGCAATGCTTCAAATGAAGACTACGATATCTACTCTTGTAAGATCCTACCGTTTTTCGCCATCAGAAAAATGCCCTACACCGAAGGATCTAAGATTATCTTTCACTCTATCAGTGGAATTTATCAATGGATGTAACGTTAAAATAGAACCGAGAACATAATAGCTTGGAATTTAAAATGTTTAGGTGCGTTTTGTTCAAGTAATTAATTAAAAAATCAATTATTAGGTACTGGAAAATGTTTTGGTGTAAAAAAAAACACTGGGTTATTATTGGGTTATTATTAACACTGGGTATTATTTAACTCCCTTTCATATAATATTATAATGGTATTTATTATAATAAATAGCAAATAAATATGTATCTTAATACTTTTTGTGTTCATTATTTATAGTAGTTAAGCATAGCTCTAGAGTTTATATGTGGATGTTACGTTAAAATAGAATCAAGATCGTATTGAGTAATTAAAAATATTTAGATATGTTTTATTTAGGGTAGAATTTACTTTGATTGTTTACTGTTTTAAAACAAAATTGGAATACACTTTGTTCTTTTAATAACATAATAATACACAAAAAACAAAACTCTTTGTAGATCATAAAACATGTATTACTAATTAGGTAGTGTTTTGCTTCTCAGTATATTTTTATTAGCTTTGAATATTGAATGATAGGGTGTACCTACTTAAAATAATATTCAACTATATTATAATAAGTTTTTTTTTTTATTCTTATGATGAGGCATCATTAAACATCTAATTGAATATATTTTATTTTGTATAGGTATACAAAAGGTTATAGTATTTAAATTTACTGTTTTTTTTTACTCAGATAAAAATAATTCAACATACCACCCTTCTTCCAGACCAAAATTTTAAATAATAAGAGGAGTTTCGTTGAGTATTATTTATAGGTAATAATAATATTTCTATCCGTTTTAATTTTAAACTTAAATAATTAAATAATATTGAAAATATAATCTTTGAAGCAATAAAACACAGTAAAAATATGGTTTTAAATTATTAACAGAAGATATTTAATGCCAGCTTTAGTGTCTTGTAAAGATTACTACATAAAATACTGTAATATTAAATGTATTTAGTTTTGTCAGTAAAACTTACTTGTTGAAGTACGAAATCCATATTTTTGGTTGCTGATGAAATTATATAATTATAAAGTTTGTAAGTTTTAAACACTTATAGTAAATTTTTGAAATTTTGGTTCTTTATAAAAGGTTTTTTTGGAATTTAATATTTTTCCCGAGCATGTGCATCCATAGAAATTGTGGGGGGGGGGGACTAATCTTGAAAGACATTACTTTTCCACCCACAAAAAAAAAAAAATTTAGCATTCTTTAATACATAACTCTTCAAATAATGTTATATATACACACTTGATGATCAAAATATATTATATTTATGTTCATTAGATATTATTCACATTCAATTTAGTATTAATTTGTTCACTATAGATTTTTATTTGGCAAAATTGTTTTCCGCTTTTTTTATGATTTTATTATTAATATTTTAATCTTATCATTCTTATACAACATTTACATATATTTTTTTTTTCCCTTAACTCATTTGAATTTAATTTACAAAATTTACTAAAAATTAAATTAAATTTAGTATGTATATTTTGTCAATTAAATTTTTTATTTCCACTGTTTCTCCTCGATTCAGACATTTTAACGACATATTATTTTTAATATAAATGTAAATATTTTATCCTAAATTTAATGTAATATCTTCGTTAAATTTTGATAACTTGAATCAATTAATTTAGCTAATCTTGGAAGCTATTGTTTGAAAATGTGTTATTCAAAATTACCCAGTAGGACATTTTTACATAATATTTATACCATAATTTTTAAGTTAATTAGCATTTAAAAAACGTTTCGTAATAATACACATTATATTAGATTAATAATAATACGTAAATAAGAGATTTAAAAAACCGTGGGAATTGGTTCGTAAAAGTTACACTTACATTGCTGGAACTTCTTAAGAACGAATTTTTAACTTTAAAAAACTACAAAATTGTGTTTAAAACCTAATACATTTTAAATTATAATCTGATTGTCTGATTTGAATATTTCTAAAAATGCTTCATAAAATACATCACGAACATAAACTTTAAATAGCAATAACTTTTGAACAGTATGTTATAAAAATTTTTTTTAACATTTGTGTATTTAAAATATTAATCGACTACAGAATATCCCAACAAATTTAAGGGTTCTCGGTTTAAATTTTAAAAGTTAATACCATGCTTGCGCTAACTACTTATAGTATGATTTTAGATTGAAGCGTTAAATGTGCCTAAAATAAAACCTACCGATATCCAAATATCAGAATTTGAAAAATCAAAATCAACTCTAAAAATTGGCCGTTTTCTTCGTGTTTTAAATAACTTAGAATGCAATATGGCTAAAATCAATTTAAATATAATACAACAATTTTTTTTTAATATTAAGTATTTAAAAACGTGACATAAGGCATGTTATGATTTAAAAATTTTGAAAATAGGTGGAGTTTTCTTGAGTATAGCTTATAGGTAATAATAATCTTTTAACCCGTTTTAAGACTAAATTTTAATACATTTATAATGTTGAAGATATCATATTTGAAGCTATAAAGCACTGTCGAAAAATATAATTTTTAATTAATATCAGATGCCTACTTTAGCGTCTTGTAAAGGTAAACTACATAAAGTACTAAAACTTATTAAAAAAAAAAAAAAAAAAACGTAATATAAATGGATTTATTTTTTGTAGTAAAACTTACTTGTTGAAATGGAAAATTCATGTTTTTGGTTGCTGATGAAATTATATAGTTATATAATTTTACGGAAATATATAATTTTAAAATTTTCACGTTTCGTTGAGTATTGCTTAAAGGTAATAATAATCTTTCTACCCGTCTTAAGCTTAAACTTTAATCCTTGAATAATGTAAACAATATAATATTTGAGGCAATGCAACTCTGTAAAAAAATACGGTTTTAACAGAAGATATTTAAAGCCAACTTGAGTGTCTTGTAAAGAATAACTAAATAAAGTACAACATCATTAAAATGTTTTTAATTTTGGTAGTAAAACTTACTTGTTGAAATGGAAAATTCATGTTTTTGGTTGCTTATGAAATTATATAGTTATACAATGTGTAAGTCTTAAACATAAATAGTAAATTCCTGGTATTCTTGTTCCTTTTATACGTTTTTCTTAGAATTTAATTTTCTATATATATTTGTTCAATACATTTTTATTTCTATTGTTTTTCTTCGATTCAGTCAGTAATTGAATGTACATATTTAATATTTTTTGTTATAAATATAATATTCTTCATTATGTTTTTTTCTCATAATGAATTTGTACATTTAACTTTTAAATGAGGAATTTCAATGACACATACTACACTATATTAAAGGACTTTCATTGTTTCATACTAAAACCTATACATACCCATATCGCATCCCCGCTTAAAAAGTAACATAACTCAAAAAACATTATTTTTGAGATTATAGCATATTTTAAATAAATATCATATCATTATTGTGTAAAAACGTCATAAGTTTATTATTATTTTTTACCGATAGATGACGCGCGTCACTTATGGTATAACATTATTTTACATTATGTTCTCTTTTTTTAAATGACTTTATTAAAAAATGGCATTTTTCCAGTTATGTCACTTTTCAAGCGTGGCTGCGATATATTAAAAAAATAACTATACTAAAAAAATGTATTACAAATCACAATAAAAATTGCACACGTCTGTTTTTATTAGCTAATTAAATATATTAACCAAATTCTTCTTAAAATCAAATCAAATTTATTCTGAACAAAAAATTAAGGATTATAGTATTAATATACTAATTTCATAAAAACAATATAAGATGTTGTTATTATTATTATAATTTTGCTATATTTTCAAAGGGATTATTACTGGCTTGTGTCAAACATTAACTTTTATTTTTATACTTCTAAAATGAATACACCTATGTAGAGCGACATAACTTTAAATGTATTAGCAAAATTATCCTTAAAATCAAATCAATTTTATTCTGAACAAGAAGCACACAAATCTCCTGTTTCGGAACAATTATTGGATACTAACCATAGCATAAAACCATTTACAAATTTAAATAGTTTTAAAGAACTTAATATTTGAGAAGCAATAGTTACTTTCTGTTATAATATTTTCTTAAAAAACGGGTTTGTTTAATTTTACTCAAGATACCTTATTATACTACACTTTGGTGTTTTTTAATTAAATATTAAGTTTGGCTCTTTAGCCTGTTAATTTACTTTTTAAAATATAATACAAATACGCGGAATAAATAAAAAGTATGTTTATTAAAAAATAATGTGAACTACCAAGTTGCTAATTTTAAAAACTATTGTATAATTGTATATTGTTCTACATTTTAATAAAATAAAACAATTGTTTTAATTAACCTTGGGGTTTCCTACTAGCGATATACAATGTATTCTTGGAAATTTCCTAGTGGAAATTAAATTTTACCTTCCTAGTGGGAAATTTTTGAGTATATATTTTAACAACCAATCGAATTTTAATAAAAACCAATACCATCTATTTATATTATAGTTTAATAGGTTAATAATATAGCTAAATCTAAAAATAACTGTTGGTTAAGTATTTTATTTTCATTAATATTTAAATATGTATTATAGACACATTATTATGATTCCTATTATTTTAATAGTTTTCAATCAAGTAATTATTGACGATTCAAGTGTAATAAATAAATAGGAATCACGATAATAGTGTGTATAACAGATATTTATATTTATATTTAATATTCAATAGATAATTACGATTCTTATTAAACATCGACAAGCAAAGAAATTTGAATAATTATTTTCTTTCTTTGGTGTTATCTGCTGTGATTTCATATTTCATATCATCGTTTCATTTTCTTCTTTCTTGGTCACCAGGGTTGCAACTACATGAAATCGTTTGTTTTATTAAAACACATTTTATAAGTATATCATTTTTTGTAAATCATCGTATGTCGGTTTTTTTTTCTGAAAAAATTTAATTAATTTCTGGAATTACCTTATTTCGAAAAAAATTTAACATTCGCAGGTAATTTGTTATAATTCAGAATGAATATGAGTTCCTTTTGCGTAAGAGCTTCGTATTGCTCGAAGAAAGTAAATATT